TCTTTCGTCTGACATTGTGAGACACGTGTATTTTAATAAACTGATGAACTAATTCGAATTTGATTGTTCGAAAAAATGTCAACCCTACTAAATAAAGGTCAGGAATAAATCACTTTTAACCCCATTTCGATTTATACCCATCTTTTAATAATTCATCCAATTTACTGAATAATTTGAATGTAACTTTTTAAACACGTGGCAACTCTCTTCACACATTGGAAATGTTCAAACTAAAGATTTCTTACCATTCTTTCGTTTGGCTACGGTATTTTCATATTTCATATACTTTTTGAACTAATTAAGTTAGACCTTTGAAACAGGTGCCAGCCCTCTTCAAAAGTATTTTCAAGACTAATCGTTGTTAACCCTCCTTTGCCGGACACTGCGAAACATTATTTTAATTAACTGATGAATTAAGTGGAATTTTATATTTCAAACATGTGGCAACCCCGCTAAATGTAATTCAGTAATGAAAATTTTTCAAACCCCTTTGATTAATATACATATTTTAATAATTCATTTAGCTAAAATAAATTGAATTAAAGTTTTTAAACAGGTGGCAGCCCTCTTCCTCAAAAATATTCTTTGCGTTGAAACTAAAGATTAATAAACACTTCTTTGTTTGACATCCATATTTTTATTTTTACTAAACTAAATTCGACATTTCAAGCAGGTGGCAACCCTCTTCAAAATATTTTCAACCTACTAATTTTTAAACCCCCTTTCGTTTAGCACTCATATGGTGATACATATTTCTCTTACCTAATATGAGTTTTTAAAAAGGTGGTAACCCTCCTATAGTCCAGCTAAGAAACAAAGCTTTTCATCTATTGGAAAGTCTTTTTTGTTTCATTATTATTATTTTTTCTTTCTAAAAATGTTTAATGTGTAAAGACTCTCTACTCCTCCAATAGCTCACCATGGCAAATTTGTTTATTCTTCAGTCGAGCTATGTGTCAGTTTTATTGGTTTCGCACATTTTGCTGTGAGATGTTATTCTTTCGAATTTTGCTACTTCTTGCTTCTCTAGTTTGTACAGAAGTAAAATATCAAACGCGACAAAGTAAACCTGATAAAATAGTACTCAGCAGTAAGTTTATCAATCAGTAAAATGTTTAAGGAGACGTGCATTATATTAAAATTCAGAAAACGTCTCACGGAAATATTTCTGCCCAATGCCGCAGGAAAAGAAAAAGTAGTAAGAGCTAAAAAGTTTAAAAAAATATACAATCACTTGCTTACAACAATAACAACAGCATTATAAATGCCACCGTTATATCAAGTAGATAGTATAACTGCGATGTTACCTGCCAATAGCGCACATTTAACCAAAAAAAAAAACAATCAACTTAAGCAAAATAAACAAGCAAATAAAAAGTACGAGTAGAAACATAAACAAGTTGCTTTTAGCAGCTGTTGAAAGCATTGTCACACCATTAAAACGCGAGTCATTTCACTTCGCGAAAGCATTTAATGAGCGCCAAGCGGAACTACAAAATCGCATAACTTGAGGCAATATCTGTATGCAGAGTTGTATATGTATGTATGCACTTAACAGCTAAGGACACTTAACGCACCCTATTTCAAACGCCAGTAAAAAAGGACATCGTCAACTATTTGAAATGAAATTGTTGTCATTTGTAAAAGAGTGTAACTTATAGAGGTTGTCAATAGGTTTAGATGGAAATGTTGACAACACTTTGTGCCACTGCCACATTAATGAGATACGATTACGAAATATAGCAAATGGCACAGCATGCACATACATACACACATGTATAGCTAACAAAACCAGTGCAAATATCTGGCGGCGGAAGTTGCCAGAAAGCAAACAAGTTGCAGTTGCTCAGTTGCAAATTTAGTGGGATGAGCAAATGTGTTTGTACATAAATATATATGTACATATCTACATCGGTATAATTATAAACATGCACTGCTTTTGTGTTTGCACACACGCATATATAGTATATACATACATATGTAGTCACTGTCTGCTTGATTTAAAACTTTACGCAATTTGCATAGGTATTACTCATACGCCACGGTGTGCGAAAGTTAAATACAAGAAACCTTAGAAAATTTCATTTGCATCTTGTTAGCATAATGCAAAATAGTATGAAAGTTTGCTAAAGTAGCAGACATCTAAAAAAAAAAAAACATACATCATGTGCTGGCAGAACTTGGTATTAAAATAAATAAATAGCAGTAAATCGTGTGGGATGAATGAAGCTTCTGGGAAGTACACAAACTCGTCGCATGTTGCGCACCGCAACCAACCACTTTTGCTAGGCTGCATATTTTAATGCACAAAAATTAGGCTTGCAAATGCGCTCTCTCATTGCTATTTATTTCATTTTCCAACCACAATTATTTACCTGCTTATGCGGCTGTTGGAAATATTTACTTCCTTGTTTGCTTGTAGTTTATTTAAAAGTAATTCCTTCCAGTGTTTGAGTTTATGACGAAAATTAATGACAGCAAATTTGAGTCTCATCATTCACCGAACAAAGTTTACTTCTAATACATAGATTTTTTTTTAAGAACAGCGTATATCGCTAGCTTAGAGTGAAGAGTTGCTAAGTCCAATTTTGAAAAAAAATTTACAGCAGATGAAAAAAGTCTCTTTATAGCCATTTTATTCAAGTATTTCGTAAAACTTTGTACATTTGGGACACAAAAAACTCGATTCAAATCAGAAGGATTCGATCTTTATTTTTAACCGACTTCAAAAAAGAAAAGAGAGAAGGATATTTTTCGATCTTTCTTCTTCGATAATTATTTTTCTATCGGATAGGTGGATAGGAATAAAAATTGTTGCATATACTGTGAAAAATTTGCTGTGCTAATACTTTGTTCCGGCAGTGTATATATCTTCTTTTTTTTACAAAAATATGGTTTATAAATCAAACTTCTAAACTGAATACAAAATTAAGGAAAATTTAACGAATTTTCATCAATAGTTTAAACTTCTTATTCAGATTTAAAAAAATGCATAATGTGACCAACCGTACTTCTTTCGGAAGTACAGTACTTCTTTTTGAAGCTCTTGTGCTTCGCACTTCGCAGTACAGTCAAATGTACTTACATATTTGGAATATTTCGTACTTCAGGTCATGTACTTCTGCGGTCTCCTGAATGATCGTCACATAGCCTGGGCGATAAATTCTTTCAAACCCTTCAAGTCGCCAGGGACCGATGGCATCATACTTGCGCAGCTGCAAAGGGCTCTAGCGTAATTGGTTGGCTCCAATTTATACGAACTATCTCATGTTTGCCCTAGGGATTTTAGGCATATCATTCTGTCTTCGTTTTTGCTAAAAACGCCAGAGAGACTAATAGACCGGTACATAAGAAACGTGATTCCTCGTGACTGTCTTTCAAGAGCTTAACATCCTTATTACAAGAAAAGGTTGGTGGATACCGTCCTGCACGTGGTTGAGTGAGGGAGCTCCTGCACTCAGAGCAGAGTCAATAGGGGCACTCCGTAAGGTGGTGTTCTCGCCCCTGCTCTGGATTACGGTTGTAAACAACCTTCTAGAGGATTTGGAAAGAGGGGGCTCTCGGGTGATCGGCTATGTAGATTATATGGAACTTTTGGTTAAGGGACGATTTCTAGACACCCTTTTTGATTTGGCTCAAGGTTACCTGAACCAGGAGTTCGTCCGCGGATCTCAAAGAGGGTCAACTACTTAGGCTTGATCCTGTACAAGAAGCTGTCGTGGAAGCCTAACATTGGGGAAAGGGTAAGAAAGGCATCGGTTGCCTTGTACGGCTGCTCGTTAAAAGGTGAGGTCTCTCGCCAAAAGTAATTAATAAGCTCCATGAAACTATCTTGCTTCACGGAGCCCTTGTCTGATGGAACTCACTATAGAGTAGGCTACACTTGTAAAACAACTGGCGCTTACAGGGGATCGCCCTAATCGAAATTAGTGGAGAATTAGGAATCTAACCTACACCGCCGTTTAACGTCATGCTGAACACAGCGCCTGCGGATATTGCAGACAGAATTGTCGCATCACGAACTGCTATTAGGCTCAAGGAAATCGGGTGGTAGAATGAAGCATTTTGGCTCCCACTTCTTAACTACACTGACCTCGCAGGTATCGAAATTACCCGTATTCGAAATTTGGTAATCGGGCCCGACTGACAAAACTGCGTATTCAGTTTTTTCTATTAAATAATTAAAATTGACGGTATTTTAAAATTTTAATAATACATTTTGTTATATTACACATATAGGTGAGGGCGACACCTATTATTTTTAGTAAATTGAGCGCATGTTGGGGTGACATCCGCCGATGAGAGAAGGTATTTCATTCCCTTTAGTAGATTTCCCGGGCGCCATCTGTTGTTCAACTTTATAATCATATAGAACACAAACCTGCTCTTATATGTGAACAAGTGACAATTGTGAATTTTTCGTGCTGAGAACGTAAACACCAAATGTCAAAATTTTCTGCTACAGAGAGCGTAATTTTAAATGTAATAGGTGTCGCCGTCACCGGTATGTGTAAAAATTTGCTAAAATTTTTACTAAATATGAAAAATACCGGCATTTTTAGCTATTTAATAGGAAAAAACAGAGTTGTCAGTTATTAAGCCCTTCCAATTTAAGTAAATAAAGGCAAGTCTGAGGTAGCTAGGTCTTACCAATGATTTTTGGCAAATTTTTTTGTTTTCTCCATATAAAAAAGAATCGAAAACTTTTTATATGCGAGAAAATGAGTACACCTTCAACAAAAATTTTGGTTAAAAATCATTGGTAAATCCTAGCTACCTCACACTTGCTGTTTTACTAAAACTGAATGGGCTAAAAAACTGCATAGCTCAATTTTGTTCTGAATCCTGAATTCGTATATGAAAATACTATTTAGATACATACTTTGCTTGCTAAGCAAAATGTTATAGTTAACTAAGTCGATTCGTTTTAAAACTGCTAGTTTCCTCCTCGCCTTAGGGCAATGTTTAATCAAAAATTTCAAATGTCCAGCATATTTTATACTTTTATGAATATAGATAGCCAAAATTACAAATTCAAGCAAATAGAAAACTTTGAGAATACATTATTAAATTTATGTAAAACATTGCAAACAGTAGTATAAATACATAGTATCATTTTTTCTTAGCATCTTTTAGACCAGCACCGGCGTTAAACTTGAAGAAAATTATATCACCGTCTTCAACGACGTAGTTACGGCCCTGTTGGCGATATTTACCAGCTGCTTTGGCAGCTGCCTCGGAGCCTTCTTCTTTGAAGTCAATGAAATGCATTACTTCAGCCATAATAAAACCCTTTTNGAGCCTTCTTCTTTGAAGTCAATGAAATGCATTACTTCAGCCATAATAAAACCCTTTTCGAAATCGGTGTGAATACGTCCAGCAGCTTGTGGAGCCTTTGTTCCTTTCTGATAATACAAGAATGTTTTTTTTTTTTATTTTAAGTTCACTCTTCTATATCATACTTTGATTGCTGAGTATATATA